AACAGATCTTCCAAAAGAAAATAAATTAACAACACATAGTGGAACTTGCAACTTATAAATCTTACAAAAACATGAGAGATTTCGAATATTAACAATCGTACTAAAACTATAACCTAGAAAATTCCCAACATAAAACGAAACATGCTGACGCCAGCGCAAGCCTTCGCTATTTTGCACGATAACAAATGAGTTATCGCAAACAATTTGACGCCAAAAAAAGTATACATGAAAAGGCGATTTCCCACTCAATTTATTGCCACCACTATCGCAGACAGAAAATAGGATATGAAAGTGAACTTTTGAAGTATTCTACTAATTGAATTTTGACTTACACCAATAATAAAAGTATTTCCAATATTGCGTTGGAAGCCCCCAGATGTCAGAAGAGATAAAGCTGCTGCCAGTTGTATTTTTGGTGGTATACTTGTTGAAATTGCTCCGTTGAATTTAATTTCTTCAATAACATATCTGATGGCAAAAATTAAACGTTTTATCAAGACATATTTTTGCAATGTACTAGGAGTCTGCCAATTTCAAGGGATAACTTTTCATACGTATTTGTTTTCTTACATCCCTTAAATTTTATTTGCTTTCAAAAATTTTAATTATTTGTAATATACGCCAAACATATGGTTTATATACGCTTTTATACAGTGTTGGTTTAAAGTATTTTGCTTTCACTTTACAACACTATAACAAAAAAAAAAAAAAAAAAAAACGATTCGGTACGTGTCGACTCCCAGAATAAGAAAATGGCGAACGATCGGAATTAATTGCGATACGCAACTATTTCGCTATCGACTCTCAGCATCAGCCCCCCAGGTGGTACATGCGCTGATAATGCCACACTTTTTGTATTGTATTGAAATTGTTAGTGGTAGTTGTGGCTACGTCCTACGCAAATTTAGGCTCTTATTTAATCGGGTCATGCGTTTTGCGTTGAAGCTGCGTGATCACGTTTCTCCGTATGTTATACAATTTCTGGGTAGTTCATTTGATCACTTTTTGTGCATTAGGTGTATGATTTTTTTTCTTTAAAACGTGTAAAAGCCAAAAACAGACCCTCCGTGTTGTAGTTGTTCTCATTTAGTAGGTCTGTAAGGAATACACAAATTCATGTTCCTCGTTTGGCTCCTCTGTCGGAGAAATCCTTTCATGTAAGAAATGCTCGAGTATTCAATGGTTTACTATAGGGTCTCAAGACATTCAGTGGTTCCATTAAATGTTATAAGAAAGCAGGTATGATTGAATATGCTAATTTGCATGGATTTTTATGTATTTTCTTTTGTATTACTTGCCCTGATACATGTTGTTGCATAGCTGATTTACTTAATCATTTTACTTAGTTATTTTTTATACACCCTACTGTGATTTAATGTTAAAATTTAAACTAATAATTTATTCATGTTTTTGAAGATTTTACGTTAAGATAAATCTATTGCTAGGTTTAAGATTTTGGAGTAGTAGATGTATAGTGATTTTTGGAACAGATCATGGCCATTCAAGAAAAAAAAAATAAATAAATTCAAATGCTGGATATTGTTTATTGGTTGCGCTATATTGGTGATTTCAGTTTATACATACCACTTTCGTGCAGTGAAGCTGTTTTTATATTGAATCGGATTAGAAGTATATACTTTAATCTTGCAATTTATGATACCAATTTTAACAGCTTTGGGTAGTTCGTATAAATTGAAACTAAATATGTGGATGGAGTGTTAAATAAATTTGGTTATTTTTTGACAGTACTGTATCTTCTGAGGAAAAATCGGTGAGCAGATCGCAGTATACAAATTACAAAGTTAATAAATATCACTTAAAAAACTTATAACTGGGATGTTGTTATAAAGAGAAATATTTAAACAAGCGCTGAGTAAAAAAGTAGTCTCACAACGAGTGTTGAGAGTATACTGCCCGCTTACAACATAAATCGATTATATCTTAAAAAGTTTTTGAGTTTTTACTTGAGATTGTAAAGTGACATTCTTGAGTATTTGTAGCTTAAAAATTAAAGCTAGCTCAAAAGTAAAAAAACCGTGAGTGTGGGGTCCCTTTAAAATGCTATCTCAAAAGTAAATAAACGAGAAGTAAAAAAACTTAAAATAATGGTTACAACAATAGAAACACACAGGACAATTTGTGACCATTAGAATTAAATTAACGACCAAGTCTTAGGCAATATAAAATTATTTTTAAAGTATTTTGAAAGTGCTGACAACTGTCGAGAACTGACTAATAAAATTGCTGTTCAAAGTATTTTGAACAAATACAGTTTAAAACGTACACGGATTTTATACTGAGATATTAATATGTTAACAAGTGAAAAAAGCGTTAAGTTCGGGCCGGCATTTGAATACCCTCCATCATAGGTATACTGATAGATACTTGAAATGAAAATGTAGGGAACACACCAAAAATGAATCTATACCGATAATTCTACAAACCGGTTTGTATAAACCATTATGTACACCAGATACAAATTTCAGCAATTTTTAATGAAAACCCCAAAGCGTGGAATGATACTAATAACGCATGGTAAAATATACAATCCTCAAACTACTGTAATTTAGATTTCAAAGTTAGATTACTTAGCGTAGGAATTAGAGAATATTTGGGATTATAGTTATATCAGGGCTATGCCTAATTAATGACCAATTTCGAACCCAATATTTTTGTTTTATGTCTCAATTCATTCCTTCAGGAGGTATAATTTTATGGGGGAGATGCCTAAATGCTGGCCGATATATTTAATTATCGTCAGGTTCGAGTTTTTTTATCACGATTTTCTTAGAAAACGGAATGATTACAACCTATTGCTAAATCGTTTTAGAATTCCATAATTTGTAGGGTAAAACTGACTATTTCGAGTAACGACTATCCCCTATACTACGATAGAATACGCCTATACCCCTACACACGGAACTAATCAGCTATTTTAATATAGCTGATTAATATATTCGCCCCTTTTGGTAGAAAGATTTGTTACCATACCTAAAAAGGGCGAATATAAATACTTTTTGGTGGGAAGATTTGTTACTATATGCGACTATAAAATACCAAATTTCAGCGAATTCGGTTGAGAACGCGCTCAAGAACCCCAAAATACCGAAAATTGGGAGTGCCCTTAAAAATGAACCGATATTTATAATTTTTAGGTTGAAAAGCGTGCTTAAGAAACCCAAAATATCGAAAATTGGGCGGTATCCTTATATGGGGGCTATGCCTAAACGTGGACTGATATCCTCGAACTTGACCTGCCTGTAGACAAAAGACAACTCTATCAAACTTTCTGGTCGAAAATGAATATTTCGATGAGTTACAAACGGAATGACAAAATCAATATATACCCTCTATACTATGGTGGAGGGTATAAAAGGACCAAAAAAGTCAAGGGGCTTAACAAAATTCATCAACATTCACGAAAGGGTTGCCGATATTATGCTTAAAAATTTTGTTTCTGTGTTTCTATATCTCTTATATATAAAAATGAAATGATGTGCGTTGTCTGCTAAAAACTAAAAACCGATATTTATAATTTTGAGCGAATTCGGTTGGAAAGCGTGCTTAAGAAATCCAAAATATCGAACATTGGGCGGTATGGGTATAAAAAGACCAAAAAATTCAAGGGGCTTAACAAAATTCATCAACATTCACGAAAGGGTTGCCGATATTATACTTCAAAATGTTGTATTCTGTGTTTCTATATCTCTTTTATATATAAAAAAATGAAATGATGTGCGTTGTCTGCTAAAAACTAGAGAACGTTTCGCCGGATTTTAATAATTTCTTTTGTGTTGTATTCGCATTGTTAACCGAAAGATTTAGCAGTAAAAAAATTTGCAAAATATTGGTTTTCAAAAATATTTTTTTTTATAAAACAAGCAGACAAAATATTGAATTAAAATTAAATTTTTTTGTCAATCAATGATAATAAAAAGGCCAAAACGGGGACGACCAAACATTGGTCGCTAAAACTGGAGAACGGCTGAACGGATTTATCTTATCTTAGCCTGGAAATGTTCGTGGAGGTCCAGGAAAGGTTTAAAAGATGAAAAAATATCGAAAACCGCGAAAAATTTGCAAACAAATATTATGAAGCATATCTGCATTTCCACGACTTTAGCATCGAGCTATTTTGATTGCACCCATTTGCAACCAATATTGACAATTGTTAGTAGGATTCGTGCTACCAAATAAAACTACAAATTACAGCTGATTACGATGAAAAATGTGCCCAAATCCCCAAAGGATAGTATAATGTGGAGTGCCATTATATCGAGGCTTTTCGGAAGATTGGGCCAATTTTCATAGAACATTTTCTACTCAATGATCATTCAAAATATAAAATTACAGCCAAATACCAAAAATTGAGGGGTTACCCAGATACTTGGGCCAATATTGATAATTTTAAGTAGAGAGATTTTCTGCTCAATATGTACACCCTATGTTAAATTAATAGCAATTCTGTTGAAACCCGTGGCCAAGATCTTCAAAATGCGGTATGTTTAGGGCCACCATTATATTTGGACGGTACCCATGTGCCAGTGTTGATAACATTTGGTAAGGACGCTTTCTACTCAATTACAATCAATTGTGTTGAAAAAAATTAACATTTCTCATATTGCGAGTTACCGTTATATGGGGGCTACCCTAAATAGTGAACTAATATTGAACATGTTCAATACCAAATATCCTAGCAGTAGCAACAATGTATGTGCAAATCCTGAGGGTACCTATCTCAAATCGTGGAGGGTAGAAAAAGCTAACTTACTTTGGTGGGCTATCGTTATGTGGATTATACATCAACAATATTGCTATGCAAGACAACGTTTGCCGGGCCCGCTAGTGAGCTTACTAATTGGAATTTCGGCGGGAAGGGGAAGTCGTAGAGGTACTACAGAATTGTACGACTGATTCGTCTTTTTAAATGCGAAAAGCTAAATATTTTAAATATAAGTTATTTGTAAGCATTTTATTTTAATATATATATATTTTTTTAGAATAAATACAAGGAAGCTGCCAATTTGTTAAATGATGCGTTGTCAATTAGAGGAAAAACTCTAGGAGAAAATCACCCAGCCGTCGCAGCGACCTTAAATAACCTTGCTGTTCTTTACGGCAAACGTGGCAAGTATAAAGATGCTGAACCATTGTGTAAACGTGCTCTGGAAATTCGAGAAAAAGTTTTAGGAAAAGATCACCCAGATGTTGCAAAACAACTAAATAATTTGGCCCTATTATGCCAAAATCAAGGAAAATATGATGAAGTCGAGAAATATTACCAGAGAGCCTTAGAGATATACGAATCGAAACTAGGACCAGATGATCCAAATGTTGCAAAAACAAAGAATAATTTAGCAAGTTGTTATTTAAAACAAGGAAAGTATGCGGAGGCAGAAATTTTATATAAACAGGTATTAACGCGAGCACATGAGAAAGAGTTTGGAGCAATAGATAGCAAAAATAAACCAATTTGGCAGGTGAGTATACTAAATATTTTTGGGAACCTTCTTACCATTACTCTATCAATACCCTCTCTTAGAGATGAAGAAACACGTTATTGAAGGAATTTCCTATATTTGTAGCCGGAATAATCCATATTATTCCCAATGTGTCCGACCACCTCATGTCTGGTTTTTCCTATCTTATCTGGGCCATCTGGCCCATGGAATTTGTAGGGTTGGAAACTGTTTATTGCCCATACCAGTATTGAGTTGCTTATCAAATATTCTATCAGCTTCTCCCTCAGTTGAATATTACTTTCATTTCATTTATTTCATACAATGTAATATAAAAAAGCCAGCATGGCCAATAACTTATATTAACTTATATAAAATAAAATAAAAATCCAAACAAAGAATAAACTAAATAAATTAAAAATACATAACAGTAAAAAAAATTCTACATAATGAAATTTAATGCAAACCCCTAACATAACAGATTCCAAACAAGAACCCCAATCCACTGCACTCTACTTAACTGTTGCTAAGAAAAGTGGAGGGGAAAGGAAGCTTAAGGAATCATACATATAAATATACTATATATTCCTCTCGAGCCCAAGAGCAATATCAGAACCACAGACATTAAATTCCATATGTATAAATCTATAACATAAATGCTAACGAACTTAAATAAAAATGGCTCCCCAGCCAAAAATTAAAAAAAAAAACAAAGTAACATTATGCAACCTGTAATCAGCGATTTCTCCAAAGCCAACTTCATCAAATACGAGACAAATGCCCAAACAATTCCCTCGTATACGCAAAAATGGAAGAGGTAAACTTACGAAGGCTCAAAGGGAGCTGATTCCACGATCTTACGACTCTAACTACAAATGATCTTTCACAAATTGCGGACGAAAACCGCGGATACAACAACTGAGGGTTCCGAGAGGATCTACACATCACAAACCTACTACACAGTGGTAAATCAACATTTCTCATAATTCTATAATAACACAAAAGGATACGATATTCAACATAATTATAAAAGGATAGGCCAAGAAAATTAACAACAAATTGGGAAACATGATGACTACGACCCAAACCATATACATAACGAACAATGGAGTTAACAACCTTTTGGAGCCGATGCAAATGACCAGAATTAGAGCCCGAAATAACCTCCAAACAATAGTTAACCTGAGACATCAACAACGACATAGCCACCTTCACCCTAACGCCAAGAGGCAAATATGCTTGGACACTATAAAGCCTCCTAAGCTGGAATCGCACCCGGGACAACAGAAGATCAATGTGGGTCGAAAAACTAAGTTTGGCATCAATAATTACACCCAGGCACTTCATTTCACCAACAATATTAATAGTAAAGGAACTAACGCAAATATTAGGCATAGAACCGTCATAGCAACAATTGAACAAAACAGCTTCAGTCTTATCCCAGTTTATATCAAGACCATTGGAAGAGATCCACATAGAGAGAAATTGCAACGTTGTGTTAGCCAGATTCTCCAACCTGGCGAGATCAACACTCCTAAAGAAAACATGTATGTCATCCGCATACAAGAAGAGACTACAATCACTAGCAGTAACAGAATCCATGATGTCATTAATGAACATAATAAAAAGTAATGGGCCTAGTACAGAACCCTGCGGGACTCCACACCGGATTAGACCAACATCAGATTGGACACCCTTGTGTACAACAAACTGGAATCTACACTCCAGATACGACGAAATTAGTCTACAGGCCGAAACGGAAAATCCAAATTTGACTCTAAGCTTGCGAATAAGCAGCGCGTGGTCAATTGAATCAAAGGCCTTAGACAAATCAAGACCAACAAGAAGACCAACATCAGAACCATCAAAAACATCACGAAAGTCACTAAAGCAATCCCAAGACATGCGTTAAGACTTCTGGATTTAACTTTTGTACATATTCAATCGTTCCCTATAAACGTCCCAATCTGTACTAAAGCTTGTTTTACCGACTTTGTTGTTCTAGATTTGAAGTTATTGCAATTCGTCTTCCGATATTTTTTTAGTCTTCCGATAATTTCTGTTTTGCTCTAAGAGTAGAAATCTCATGATCCGGAAACATTGCACTGATGCAGATTTAAATCTACCATGCGCTTGCCTATCCCGTGAAACAACTCACCATTGTTCCGCATTAGGTGCTTTTAGCGACAAAACCACCGTTCCTTTAAAACAGAGGTAAGGATCTTCCATTTCCTCATTTGAAGCCCGTCGTTCTGTGATTAGCGGAGGTTACCATCCCTATTGATATCTTGTGGACCGCGACAGTCGCCACATTACTACCATCCCAAAGGGGTCAATGTTATTAATTGTTTTATTAACAAAGTTCGAGGAGTTCTTAGTTCTGCAGTAATAAACTTGACTCCTTTGTAGAAGGTGACCTGACCAAATCTAAGGTACCGGCGATCAACTTCATCGCCTGGAAGAGGTCCTTAATATACCTATCGACTGACAACCTTTCCCACCATCTTAGATAATTCACATTGATTTGGATGAGTCACTAACAATAACAACAACAATAATAATAACAACCGTTCACTCGGGGACTATGTCCATTGTGATCATCCTTTTATATTACCTGTAAAGAAAAGAAAAAGAGAGTGGAGGAGCAAGGAGAAAGGATAGCGAGAGAAGAAGAGCGGAAGAAAGGTTATTTTAGCCATGCCAAATTTTTGACAAAGCCTAGGATCTAGTTTGGGTCTATTTTGGAGAGAAGACTAGATTATCAATTTCGTATCTTCCAAACTGTTTATGTCTTCTGATAATCAGCGATGGACATTTACAGAGGATGTGTTCAATTGTTTCCAGTTCTTCTTCGTCCTCACATAGACGACAGCAATCCTCTCCACTGAAGTCCCACTTCGAAGTGAGAGATCTAATCTTGCAGTGACCTGTTATGATCCCCAAAACGATTTTGATCTCCCTTTTATTGTGTGTCAGCAGCGAAGACGTTATTTTACGAGAGAATTCAGGCCAGATAGATTTTGAGCAGGTTCTCTTAGCCATCTGTTGCCGACTACCTCGCAGTAGAACGCACGGATTCTGCCAATGAAATAGCCGATGGGAGGTTTCACAGATCTCTCAATCGGAAGATTGGACGACTGTGAGCCCCCTCGAGCAAGCTCGTCGGCTATCTCATTCCCTTCAATGTCGCTATGACCTGGAACCCCACATTAACTAACTATCTGTCGTATATCATTCAAATCGAACTTGCAATCATGAACTGCTTTTGAGTTTTTAGTACGCGATTTCGCCGCTTTAAGAGCCGCCTGACTATCGACATATATAGTCACCGGCCCCGTAATGTCGGCATTAAGTGATTTCACAAAGTCACTAATATGACTATTCCACCTATGTTTAGGATGCTGGCATGACCATAGTTAAGCGATTTCAAGGCATCCGTTTCCCGGAGCCTCAGGGCACACCTGGTCGCCTGTAATTTAATCTGAATGTCCAAAGGTTGGAGATTCAAAATTGCGTTCAAGTCTGCCTGTGGTGTACTTCCGGTTATCAGGATTGAAGCCGATCGCTGTGCTAAACTCAATTTTGTCAGCAGCATCTTTTTGTTAACCCCCTGCCACCAAACAAGGCAACCATAAGTAATAATGGGTAAGACGATCCTCGTATACAGCCAGTGTATGATTTCGGGTCTTAATCCCTAGCTCTTACCTATGGAATTCTTACATGAGTAGAGTGCCAGCAGTCCATTCTTAGAGCGTTCCTCAACATTCCTATTCCACGTTGGTTTGCGGTCAAGGATGGTGCTAAGGTATTTTGCTTCTTTAGAAAGGGTTAAACTCACTCCTCCCAGTGATGGCAGACGGAAACTAGGAATGTTACGTTTTCTAGGGAAGAGCACCAGTTATGTCTTAGTGGGGTTTACACCAAGACAGGGTTGAAAGGGCACCCTCCAGGATGTCTGCAATTGTCGTTAGAAACATACCCCCAACAGCAGGACTACGTCATCGGCATATACTACAACCTTTATCCTGAGATCATTTATCACAAAAGGGGGTGAGCCTCTGTTGACAGATTTCCTCACGGAACTCTCTGCTAAGGATGAGTTGATAATTCTGCTTCCCAGCATTCTATCAATCCATTCCGTAAGGAGTGAGGGGATACCTGTGCTTACGAGAGCAGTATGGATGGCTTCCAGCTGCTCATTATTGAAACCTCCCTCAATATCGAGGAATGCTGCCAACGTGTAGCCAGAGGATTCCATATTCTTCTCGATGCACCCAACCCAACCTCATGCAGAGCTGTATCCACTGATCTGCCTTTGATGTATGCATGCTGGGAGTTGCTAAGTTTACTATGGTCAATACTGTTCCTAATTTCTTGAGTAGAAAGAAGAAAGACTATTCGGTCTATAGTCTTTTGCAACCGTATGATTCGGCTTCGTGTCATGCTGCAACACGCAGCATGGCCGGTATTATACCATTTAGGCCAGGAGATTTATAGGGTTGAAAAGTGTTTATCGCCCATACCATGGGCGGCTTATATCATCTTCTATCAACTTCTCCTCCTCCCTCGTTCGAACTGTACGCTGATGCACACACTGCGCACCCTCCCTATAGACCTTGCAACCAGGAAAGTGGGTTGACGAAAGAAGATCAAGTGTCTCACTGACAGAGTTTGTCCACGTTCCATCACTTCGCTTAATACTACCTATGGATTTTGGATTCTTAGATAGAACTCTGCGAAATCTGGCCGCTTCGTTGACTCCTTCGATTGACTCACTATAGCAGACCCAAGACTCACGTTTAGCCTTCTTGATTTCGCTCTTGTACCTATTGAATTGTCTTTTATAGACATCCCAATCTGTACTGAGCTTTATCTTACTAGCTCTATCGTATGCTTTCCTTGCAGCCTTCCTCAAGGTTGCAAGGTTAAGATAACACCATACCGGCTGAGATTTTTTCCCAGGGTATGTTAGGGGACCATACATTATTCACAGCTAATTCAACATCCTCAACCGTTTTTAG